TGATCTATATATATGCATGCATGCTTACTTTGCTAGGTAGAGATCACTATTCTGTTTGTGTTGCATATATGCCTCTGCATGTGAACTGGTCAGAGTGTGTGGTGACGTTGTGATCCACCCTGAGCTTGCTTTGACTCTCTTGACTGTTCTTGTGACCCCTTGCTCTCCCCCACTGTGCCTATGGGGGTGTGTCAAATGTTATATGTGCTACAGTTTGTTTAGGATGTAGTGGGGTAGTTACTATGGGGTACAGTAAGTTTAGGGGTTCCTGCTTGTACCGAACTCTTTCCTAGTTCAATCACCGTTGTTGATTCTGACAAAACTCGAAGGAAGCGCATGGATCCCTATGGGCGCTGGGAAAAACGTCCAAATTGTTGTTGCATATTCGGGTGGCCCGTGCTCATATACACCCACCTGAGCAATTCCGGCTTGGTTCGCGCGAATAGAAAAGTTTGGCGCCTGCGATGGCGGCCGCGCCTGCCAAAAAGCGCTTAGGAAGCGCATGGGTCCCTACGAGCGTGGCGAAAAGCGTCGAACGACCTAAATGTTGTTGCATATTCGGGTGGCCCATGCTAAAATTTACCCACCAGAGCAATTCTAGCTTGTTTCTCTCGCACGGAAAAGTCCGGCGCCTGCGATGACGGCCGCGCCTGTCAACAAATGCTAAGGAAGCACATGCATCCCAACATGCATAGGGAAAATAGTCAAACGACCTGAACGTTGTTGCATTGGGTGGCCCATCCTCAAATACACCCACCTGACAAATTCCACCTTGGTTCGCACGCAGAGAAAAGCTCAGCGCCTACGATGACGGCCCGCCTGCTAACAAATGATACGGAAGCGCATGGATGTTGTTGCATATTCGGGTGGCCCATGCTCAAACACACCCAGCTGAGCGATTTCGGCTTGGTTTGCGCGCACACAAAAGATCGTCGCCTGCGATGACGGCCGCGCCTGCCGACAAACGCTAAGGAAGCGCATGGATCCCAACAGGCATAGGGAAAGTCGTCAAGCGACCTGAATGTTGTAGCATATTTGGGTGGCCCATGCTCAAATACACCCATTTGACCGATTCCGGCTTGGTTTGCACGCATAGAAAAGCTCCGCGCCTGCGATAATGGTCGGGCTTGCCGACAAACGCAAAGGAAGCGCATGGATCCCTATAGGTGCGGAGAAAAGCGTCGAACGACCTGAATGTTGTTGCATATTCGGGTGGCCCATGCTCAAATACACCCACCAGAGCAATTACGGCTTGGTTCGCGCGCACGAAAAAGTTCGGCGCCTGCGATGACGGCCGCGCCTGCCGACAAACGCTAAGGAAGCGCATGGATCCTTATGGGCGTAGGGAAAAGCGTCAAACGACCTAAATGTTGTTGCATATTCGGTTGGCCCATACTTAAATTCACCCACCAAAGTAGTTCTGGCTTGGTTCGCTCGCACAGAAAAGTTCGGTGCGCGCGATGATGGCCGCGCCTACCGACAATCGCTAAGGAGATCCCTTAAGGCGTTGGGAAAAGTGTCGAACGACCTAAATGTTGTTGCATATTCGAGTGGCTCATGCTCAAATACACCCATTCAATTCTGGCCTGGTTTGCGCGCACAAGAAAGTTCGACGCCTGTGATGACGGCTGCGCCTGCTGACAAATGCTAAGGAAGCGCATGGGTCCCTATGGGAGTAGTGAAAAGTATCGAGCGACCTAAATGTTGTTGCATATTTGGGTGGCCCATGCTTAAATTCTCTCATCAGAGAAATTCTGGCTTGGTTCGCGCGCACGAAAAGTTTGGAGCTTGCGATGACGGCTGCGCTTGCCGGAAAACGCGAAGGAAGTGCATCAATCTCTACGGGCATAGGGAAAAGCGTCGAACAACCTAAATGTTGCTGCATATTCGACTCGCCCATGCTCAAATACACCCACCCGTGTTAGAGGTCCGCTGGTCATCCCCGATTGATCTTAGGGAAGGGTTAAGAGCATGTTGGCCTAGGGGGTTACGGGCGCATTGACCCGCTATATTAACAAGCCCTTTTATCCCAATGGTCTAGTGGTTGGGGTTCTGACATGGTATCAGACCAAAGGTCTCGGGTTCGAATCCCAATGTGTGCACTTTGGGCATCCCAGTGCGGGAGGGTGTTAGAGGTCCACTGGTGATCCCCAATTGATCCCAGGGAAGGGTTACAAGCATGTTGGCGTGGGGGGTTATGGGTGCACTGACCTGCTATTTAACAAGCTCTTTTATCCCAATGGTCTAGTGGTTGGGATTCTGATAACCTGAGCAATTCCAGCTTGGTTTGCGCGCACGGAAAAGCTCGGCGTTTGTGATGATGGCCGCGCGTGCCCACAAACGCTAAGGAAGCACATGGATCCCTTCACGCGAGGGGAAAAGCGTCAAACGACCTAAATGTTGTTGCATTTTCGGGTGGCCCAATCACAAATACTCCCACCATAGCAATTTCGGCTTGGTTCGCGCGCACAGAAAATTTCTGCGCCTGTAATGACGGCCGGGCCTGCCGACATGTGCTAAGGAAGCGCATGGATCTCTATGGGCATACAGAAAAGCGTTGAACGACCTGAATTTTGTTGCATATTCGGGTGGCTCATGCTCAAACACACCTCAGAGCAATTCCGGCCTGGTTCGCGCGCACAGAAAGTTCGGCGCCTGTGATGGCGCCTACGTCTGCCGACAAACACTAAGAAGCGCATGGATCCCTACACGCATAGGGAAAAGCGTCAAACTACCTGAATGTTGTTGCATATTCGTGTCAGAACATTATAGCTTATACATTTGTGTAAGCTATAGTGGGGTAGCCCATAAGGGGTACAACCCAATCAGGGTTAGTACTTGTACCCAACTCTTTCATAGTTCAATCATTCTCGTTTCTCATCATGGTATCGAGCAGGTTCCCCAGTGAGAATGCTGCCTAGGGCCCACCACGATTTTTTTTCCCCTGCCCGGAGCGCGCTTCACTCCTACCCGAGTAGCGTTTCGTGTGCCCTACCTACCCTCGAGCCGCCCTTAGTGGCCCCTTTGGCCGCCCTTTACGGCCCCTACGCCGCCCTCTAAGGCCCCTCGCGCCGCCCTTAAGGCCCCTTACAGCCCCTCGCGTCGCCCTCTAAAGCCCCTCGCGTCGCCCTTACGGCCCCTTACAGCCTCGCCTAGGCCCCTTACGGCCCCTCCGCGACCCCGTCTAGGCCTCTTGCGGCCCGGTCTAGACCCCTCCGCGGCCCTGTCTGGCCCCTTACGGCCCCGCCTAGGCCCCTTACGGCCCCTCCGCGGCCCCGTCTACGCCCCTCCGCGGCCCCGTCTAGGCCCCTTGCGGCCCCATCTAGGCCCCTCCGCGGCCCCGTCTGGCCCCTTGCGGCCCCGTTTCGGCCCCTCTGCGGCCCCGCCTAGGCCCCTCTACGGCCCCGTCTGGCCCCTTTACGGCCCCGTTCAGGCCCCTCCGCGGCCCCGTCTAGGCCCCTCCGCGGCCCCGTCTGGCCCCTTACGGCCCCGTTTAGACCCCTCTGCGGCCCCATCTACGCCCCTTGCGCCCCCGTCTAGGCCCCCCTTTCGGCCCCGTCTAGGCCCCTTTCGGCCCCGGCTAGGCCCCTTTCGGCCCCGCTTAGGCCCCTTTCGGCCCCGTCTCAGCCCCTCTGCAGCCCCGCTGCCACCTGCGGCCCCGACGCCGCCACCTACGGCCATGTCGCCGTCACCCACGGCCCCGTCGCCCTACCCTAGCGGCCCCATCACCGCTCTCCCGCCCAGCGACCGAGCCGCCGAGCAGCACAGCAGCCGAGCCGCCCGCCTACCGAGCAGCCGAGCCGCCCCGCAGCCGAGCCGCCCCGCAGCCAAGCCGCCGAGCAGCCGAGCCGCCCAGCAGCTGAGCCGCCCTGCCGCCAAGCCGCCGAGCAGCCGAGCCGCCCTGCAGCCGAGCCGCCTTGCCGCCGAGCCGCCGAGCCGCCCTACTGTCTAGCAGCTGCTGTTCCTACCGGTGCTCCCCTGCCCCTCCTTCCTCGGACTGGTGAGCTCACTTCCTCCTAGGCCACTGCAGTCATGGCTACCCCTAGTGTCCTCACTTTTTATGCTGAGGGCCGTGCCGTTGACTTTGAGGTCTGGGTCGATGACCTCCAGCTGTATCTCCAGTGCGATAGGGCAGACGGCCTCTCCCTGTTTGACCTCACTTCTGGTGCCTCTCCTGCCCCTGCTGCTGATGCTGACGCCACTGTTCGCTCACAGTGGGCCATGCGCGATGCTGCTGCTCGCCTTGCTGTGCGCCGCCACTTACCGACCACTGAGCATGCACACTTTTTGTCAAACACTATATGTGTTATTATTGTGTAGGCTATAGTGGGTTAGTCTTTAGGGGGTACACAAAGTTAGGGTTTCCTACTTGTACTCCAACTTTCATAGTTCAATCACTTCTTGTTCGTAACAGCTTTAGCTAGTACAAAAGTGCTCAGACCTTGTACGACGCGAAAATGAACGAGAATGAATTGACTAAGGGAAAGTTGGATACAAGTACAAACCCTAGAAAGCTGTACCCCATATGTGCTACCCCACTATAGCCTACAGCAGCTATGTCATATAAAATCTGACAGGTCGTGGTGGCAGCAAGCTCAAGGTGGCCATGGCTGCCTTGACACGCTGCAGTGAGAAAAAAAAAAAGTTAAAAAAACTTACGACAAAATAAATAAAAATAAATTTAAAAAATGCACAGCCATGGCGGCCTTGAGTCGATGCATTGGGGAAAAAAAGAATTTGGCTGAAGGAAAAATTCCCTTCCAAGATAAGAAAAGGAGATGGAAGGACGGACACTCAAGAGGTGGTAAGTGAAGTTGGTTATAAGCGCAGAGGCACAGGGACTCGTAGCCATGGTGGCCTTGACTGCTGCAAATGAAAAAAATTGCCCAAGAATGACTGAAAAAAAGGTGAGAGAAAAATACCAAAAAACGAAAAAGCATCTAAAAACAAAAAGAGGATGGGGGAGGGAAGGGGAGGTGGGAGAGAAGTCTGAGCAGGAAATGGACGGAGGCAACAGAGCACGGCAGCTGACAGCAGCAGGAGAGTCGCTGGGAGGTTGGCTGGAGTGTCAGAACATTATAGCTTATACATTTGTGTAGGCCGTAGTGGGGTAGCCCATATGGGGTACAACCCAATTAGGGTTAGTACTTGTACCCAACTGTTTCATAGTTCATTCATCCATTCTCACTTCTCGTCATGGTATCGAGCAGGTTCCCGAGTGGGAATACTGCCTAGGGCCCACCACGAACTTTTTTTTCCTTCACTACCCGGAGCGCGCTTAGCTCCTAACCCGAGTAGCGCCCCGAGCCGCCTTAGTGGCCCCTTTTGGCCGCCCTTACTGCCCCTTGAGCCGCCCGCTACAGCCCCGCTACGGCCCCGTCAGCCTCGTTACAGCCCCGCTTAGGCCCCGCTATGGCCCCGTCGGCCCCGCTTAGACCCCGCTACGGCCCAGCTACGGCCCCGCTACGGCCCCGCTACTGCCCCGTCGGCCCCACTTAGGCCCCGCTACGGCCCCGCTACGGCCCCGTTGGCCCAGCTTAGGCCCCGTCGGCCCCGCTACGGCCCTGCTACGGCCCCACTACAGCCCCGTCGGCCCCGCTTAGGCCCCGCTACGGCCCAGCTACGGCCCCGCTACGACCTCGTCGGCCCCGCTTCGGCCCCGTCGGCCCCGCTACGGCCCTGCTACGGCCCCGTCGGCCCTGCTTAGGCCCTGCTACGACCCAGCTACGGCCCCGCTACGGCCCCGTCGGCCCCACTTAGGCCCCGTCGGCCCCACTTCGGCCCCGCTACGGCCCCGCTACGGCCCCGTCGGCCCCGCTTAGGCCTCGTCGGCCCCTGCTACGGCCCCGTCGGCCCCGTTGGCCTCGCTTTGGCCCTACTTAGGCCCCGTCGGCCCCGCTACGGCCCCGCTTTGGCCCCGTCGGCCCCACTTAGGCCCCGCGTCGGCCCCGCTACGACCCCGTTGGCCCCGCTATGGCCCCTCTTAGGCCCCTACCACGGCCCCGTCCCGTCGCCACCGCGGCCCCGCCCACCATTGCGGCCGGCCGCCATCTACGACCCCGCCGCCCAGCGCCCGCAGCGCCGGGCAGCTGAGCCGCCCGACCGCCCGAGCCGCCCAGCAACCGAGCCACCAGGCAGCCGAGCCGCCCGACAGCCGAGCCGCCCAGCAGCCGAGCCGCCCGACAGCCGAGCCGCCCAGCACCGTGCAGCCGAGCCGCCCAGCAGCCGAGCCGCCCAGCAGCTGAGCCGCCCTGCAGCCGAGCCGCCCGACAGCCAAGACGCCGAGCAGCCCGATCGCCCCACCTGCTTGGTAAGAGCCCATGCACTGCCCACTCACTGCCTGCCTACTGCTGTTATGGCTTCCCCTAGCGTTCTCACCTTTGACGCTGAGGGTCGGGCAGTGGACTTTGAGGTCCGGGTAGATGATCTGCAGCTTTTTCTGCAGTGCGATAGGGCAGATGGCCTCTCCCTGTTTGTCCTCACTTCTGGTGCCTCCCCTGCCCCTACTGCTGATGCTGACGCCAGTGTTCGCTCACAGTCGGCCACACGTGATGCTGCTGCTCGCCTTGCTGTTCGCCGCCACGTACCGACCATTGAGCGTGCGCACTTTAGCCAGTACAAGAGTGCTCAGACCTTGTACGACGTTGTAGTTGCATGCTACTCTTCCCCTGCCACTGCTGCACTAAGCCGCCTCATGCTACCATTCCTCTTCCCTGACCTTGCTGCCTTTCCCACTGTAGCAGACCTCATTACGCACCTCCACACTCTTGACACTCGCTACCGCGCTGCGCTTCCTGCTGAGTTCTGCGCCAAGAACCCCCCCCCCCCCATGTACATCACCCTCTACTATATAAACACCCGGCTCCTTGACTCTCTCCGCATAGTCAGGGACCACTTCCTCTCAGTTTGCTCCACCAATCTCACCATTTACCTCCTCAAGAAGGCCCTCCTAGCGATCGAGAAAAGCATAGTCGCTGTAGGAGCCTCTCGTGGTGACCCTCGCACCCTCGTCTTTGAGGGGTGTTCTCCCTCCCCCCTCTTGTCCTCTGTTGCCTCTACTGCTGTGGTTGACCTCGTTGGTTTTGAGTCGGTCGGCACTGCGTTTGCCCCGAGCGGGAAACGCCATACCGGCAGGGGCAAGGGGGGCAAGGGCACTGGAGGGGCTGGAGGGGGCGGTGGAGGTGGTGGTGGAGGCAGTGGAGGGAGTGGGGGTGGTGGTGGGAGTGGTGTCGGGGGTGGCGGCGGCGTCGGCAGCAGTGGAGGAGGCGGAGGCGGTGGAGGTGGCGGAGGGAGCGGAGGCGGCGGAGGTGGCAGAGGAGGCTGAGGTGGAGGAGGCGGCGGAGGCGGCGGCAGCGGCGGTGGTGGAGCGGGTCGCGACTCTGCGCAGAGGAGTGGCTCAGGTTGTGGTCCGCGCCAGCAGCAGCGGAGTGGTGTGACCCTGTCCCCTCAGCAGCTTCGTGAGTGGTACACTGCCCGTCAGCGTGGTGGGGGTTTTGGTCCCTGCGCTTACGTCCTCCGTACCGGCGACCCAGCTGGTGAGCAGTGTGGAGGCCCGCACTCCACCCAGTGCTGTATTGACGGCTGCGCCTGCTGACAAATGCTTAGGAAGTGCATGAATCTGTCAGAATGTTATAGTTCTCTAGCCTACAGTGGGGTAGTGTATAGCGAGTACAACCCAATTAGGGTTTCCTATATGTATGCCAACTGCTGCTTGTGCAAACTCTCTCTTCTTCATTCCTCATTCTTACATATGCTATCAGAGCATCTACGCTTCTGGTCTGTGGGCCCACCTAACTGCTTCCGCTACTACTCTGTGTGTTGCAAACCCCCTGGCGTGCGATAGCCTTTTTTTCTTCCCCTCCTAGAGGCCCCTCTCACGGCCCCTCGCGCGACCCTTAGCGGCTTCGTCGCCACCCCTAGCGGCCCCGTCGCCGCCCTTCTCAGCCCCTCGAGGCCCATTCGTGGTCCCGTTACTGCCCCTAGCGGCCCCATTGCCGCCCTTCCAGGCCCCTCACGGCCCCTTCGCGGCTTTGTCGCCGCCCCTAGCGGCCCCGTCGCCGACCTTTCAGGCCCCTCGCGGCCCCTTCGCGGCCCCATCACCGCCCCTAGCGGCCCGTCACCGCCCTCCAGGCCCCTCGCGGCCCCTTCGCGGCCCCGTTGCCGCCCCTATCGGCCTCGTCACCGCCTCCAGCGGCCCCGTCGCCGCCACTTGCGGCCTCGTCGCCGCCCCTTTCAGCCCTGCCTTGACCCTGCCCCAGCCCCGCCCCGGCCATGCTCCGTCGCCTGTCGCGGCGCACCGGGGGCTCGTACACCGCCCCCCCCTCTTTTCCCGTCACCCGTCGCGGTGCCCTTAGGGGCGACTTGGGGGGGGGGGGGGGGGGGGGGGGGGGTGGGGGGCGAGCGTCGCCCCTTCTGCCGCCTGTTTTGGCGCCCTAGGAGGCCACGCGTCGCCCCCCCCCCCCTCCTCCCCCCCCCTTGTAACCTCCCTACCCGCCATCCCGCCCTGCCCTGTGTTAGGGTATGGGGGTGGCGGGTGTGTGGTCTCCCCTGCTCCTTCTCTGTCTCCCACTGCTGCAGCTGCCGCTGAGGGGGGTGGGTGTGTGGGAGTCGACGGAGTGGTGCTAGGGGGTGGGGTGTGAATGAACCTAGGATGCAGCAGGGGGTGTGTGAAAGGGGGGTACTGTGGGAGTGGAACTAGGGTTTGAGCAGGGGGTGTGTGTCGAGGGTGTGGGGCAGCTGGAGGAGGTTGTGTGAAGGTAGCTGTCGTGTCGCCTGCAGCGTCTGTAGTTTGTAGCCCTTGATTCGGTAGCCACTGAGCCTGTTGCACCAGTCGCCAGTGGGTCCGTTGCTCCTGCCACTCGTCTATAGCCTCGGAGCCAGTTACTCCAGTAGTCCGTCGCCCTTGCTTCGGTAGCCACTGAGTCCGCCGCTCCTGTGCCTGTGCCTCTGTAGCTTCAGTCGTTCCCTCCCATCTTCTCTCCCTCCACAGTTCCTCCTCCTCCTCACTTGTCGGGTGTGATTAACTCTAGCTTTGCTCGCTATTGTGAACTTCTGCTCTATGCGTGCTTGCTCATTGTGCTGATTACACCCCACTTTGGCTATGGGGGTGTGTGAGAATGTTATAATTGTCTAGCCTGCAGTGGGGTACTCTATAGCGAGTACAACCAAATTAGGTTTCCCTATATGTATGCCAACCGCTGCTAGTGCAACCCCTCTCTTCTTCATTCCTCATTCTTCACATCTTAACGATCGATTAGAATTAGAGATGGTAGCTAAGCCTAAGGCGCACAATCCCACTGAGCGGATTTGCGTTTAATTGAGAAATGATTTCGTCGTAAGCTCTCAAAGTGACGGATCCTGAACAACACTCTAGTACATGCCATGTGAGTAGCTAGAAACGGGGGCGGTTCTAGCAAGTGGGCCTAAACTATCGCTGGAGTGCTCGGGCACTGGGGGCAGCCTATGCTGCTGCTGGTTCTGCTGGGGGCAGCCTAAGCTGCTGATGGTGCGTTGGCGGTAGCCTAAGCTGTTGCTCGAGCGCTGGGGCAGCCTAAACTGCTGCAGCTGGTGCTGCTGGTGGCGGGTTTTAACTCTTGAGGCGGAGGATTCAGTTCGTGGGAGGTAGCTCTGACTGGTACAGGTGGGGCAGCGGGTGCGCTTCTGTGCGGTTCTGTGCAGTTCAGTGCGGTTCTGCGTGGTTCTGTGCAATTCTATGCGGTTCTGCAAGGTGGAGAGTACAGGGTGGGGTGGCTGATTCCGGGTGAAGTGACTGGAACGGGTGGGGCAGCAGCTCTGGCTAGAACAGGTGGGGCAGCGAGTGCGGTTCTGTGCAGTTCTGCCCGTTTCCGTGCGGTTCTGCACGGTAGAGAGTACTGGGTGGGGCGGATAAATCTGGGTGAGGTGACTGGAACGGCGGGTGGGGTTGCAGATATGGCTGGGGCGGCGAGCTACATGTCTGGGGCGGCTGTTACCCGGTGGGGCAGTCAAAAACAGCAGGATTCAGTTCTTGGGGCGGCCGATTTCTGGTGTGGCGGCTGTCTTCTGCCCATGGGGCGGCAGATCGCGGGTGAGGCGACGCCTAACAGACCAGGCAAGAGGTAAGGCAGCGGGTGGGGCTGCGTCTAGCAGGTGGGACGGTGGGGAACAGGTGGGGGGATGGGTGGCTCGTGCGCACGGCTGCTGATCTGCATGCCTGCGACTAACGACGGGGTCGCGGGGCCCGCTAACGAAGGGGCCTCGGGGCCCACGGTCGAAAGGCCGCGGGGCCCGCTAACGAAGGGCCACGGGCCCACTAATGAAGTGCCGCGGGGGCCGGTAATTAACTGCCGGGACTGTCAGATTTATATGACATAGCTGTTGTAGGCTACAGTGGGGTAGCACATATGGGGTACAGCTTTCTAGGATTGTATTTGTACCCAACTTTCACTTAGTCATTTCATTCTCGTTAAACTCATGGTATCAGAGCAGGTTCCCCTGTGGGAACTATGCCTAGGACCCAGTCAGCGGGTGACCCACTGCTCGGACGCCCGCACAGGCCGACACCTGGCCACGTTTTCGCGTCGGCCGGGGTCGAGTCTCTACACCCTGACCACTGAGTCTCCTCCTGTCCCTACGTCAGGCCAGGTAGCTGCGTCGGGTCAGGTGTTTGCTGCTGCGTCCAGGTCTGGTCCTGAGTCTGCCCCCTGCTCGTGTCGCCTCCTGTCTCACGAGACTCTCCTATGGCACCACCGCCTTGGCCACCCCTCCTTGCCTCATCTTCGGGGCATGGCTTCCTATGTCCTTGTCTCTGGTCTCCCCTGATCTCTCCCTCCCCTTCCTTCAGGGCCAGGACCTTCCTGTGTTCCCTGTGTCGAGGGGCGGCTCCGGGCTGCCCCTCACTCCTCCCAGTTTCCCCCAACAGAGGCTCCTCCGCAGACGCTTCACATGGACGTGTGGGACCCAGCCCGCGTCCGTGGATAGGGTCACGAGCGCTACTTTCTACTGGTGGTTGATGATTACTCGCGTTACACCACGGTCTTCCCCTTGCGCAGCAAGGATGATGTCACTGAGGTGTTGATCGACTGGATCCGCGCAGCTCGTCTCCAGCTCAGGAGGAGCTTCGGTTCGGACTTTCCTGTTCTGCATCTGCACTCTGACCGAGGTGGAGAGTTCTCCTCTGGCCTTCTGCGAGCCTACTGTCGTGCACGAGGCATCCGCCAGACCTTTACGCTTCCGGAATCTCCACAGCAAAATGGGATTGCTGAGCGCCGCATTGGCATGGTCATGGACGTCGCTCGTACGTCCATGATGCATGCGGCTGCCCCCCATTTTCTGTGGCCGTTTGCGGTGAGGTACGCGGCGCATCAGATCAACCTTCACCCCAGGGTCTCCCGGCCGGAGACCTCCCCACCTCTGCTGTGGACGGGGAAGGTCGGCGATGCGTCTGCGTGCCGTATCTGGGGATCTCGGGCGTTTGTCCGCGACTTGTCTGCGGACAAGTTGTCCCCTCGTGCTGCTCCCTGTGTTTTCCTAGGCTTCCCCCCTGACGCCCCAGGGTGGCGGTTCTACCACCCCTCCTCTCGTCGTGTTCTGTCCTCCCAGGACGTCACGTTCGACGAGTCCGTCCCCTTCTACCGCCTCTTCCCCTACCGCACTCCTCCACTCCCCCCGCCACTGCACTTCCTTGTGCCAGGTCCCCCCTCGGTAGACCCCCTTCCCCCTCAGGGTCCTGCCCCTTCAGGTGTGTCCCAAGTAGACGCAGTCGAGCCGGTCAAGGTTGCTGGTGACTCTGGTACTGCTGCGGGTGTTGAGCCTGGGGGTGCTGACTCTGAGGGTGCTGCGCGCGTGGGTGCTGAGCCTGGGGGTGCTGAGTCTGGGGGTGCTGAGCCTTCGAGTACTGCGACTCGGGGTGCTGTGCCTGGGGGTGCTGAGCCTGGGGGTGCTACGACAGGAGCGACTGAGCCAGGGGGTGCTGCGTCTGGAGCCTGGAGGTGTGGAGCCTGCGGCCACTGGACCTCCCCTTGTGGCGTCTGGCGGTGCTGGGCCTAGAGGTTCTCCTGTTGCTTCGTCTCGGCGGGAGTCGCTCTCTCCGCAGGAGTTGCGCGAGTGGTTTGCTCGCCGCTGGAGGCGTACTGCTGGAGCTGGAGCTTCTTCGGCCGCTGAGGGTGCTGGTGCCACTGGCCCCAGAGCTGCTGGGCCTGCGGGTCCGCCTGAAGCTGGAGCAACTGAGAGTGTTGGTTCTGAGACTACTACTGTCTGTCGTGGTGGTGGTCTTGCTGCGAGTGCTGCTGGTGCTGTTGGAGGTCCTTTCGCTGGAGGTGCTGTTGGCGATGGTGCTGTCGGAGG